CTGCGCGAGTGCGCAGCTGTCAGCGGCGCCCCCGCCGCGGGCCACCGGCCCGGCCTCCCTGGCGGCCTCCTCGCTCTGCCGGGCTGCGAGCGCAGCGGGACCGCCCGCTACCCCCGCATGGAGAGGGGGCTGGCCCCGATCCCCCTCTCCTCCCGGGCAGTGCGCGGAGCCCCGGCGGGCACAGGTTGGGGGGAAGGCGGCGGCTGGCCCCGCTGCTGGGCGCCGCGGGCTGCGTTGTGCTTCATAACGGTCCGCGTTAGCGTTAAACGCGGTGGTTAAGTGGCGTGTGAGTGCCCGGCGGGCACGCCGAGAAAGTTGTTTTTTTTTTTTTATTTTTCTTTTCCTCCTTCTTCAGTAATGCTGTGTTTCGTCAGAAATAACTTCCGTTCTTGCATCAGGGCGCTAGTGATCCGGCCCGTGGTGTCACCTGGAAGGGCAGCCCCAGTGCGGAGCGGAGTTGAACTTTGGGCAAGCACGGGAGCCAGCGCCCGGCCCCTCTGCCGCCTTGGGCCGGCCTGGGGCTCCCGAGGAGGTTTAAGGCACCTCAGAGGAGTGTGAAGTTTCCTGAGAGACAGTGAAGCGCTGCCAGCAGCATGGGGAGCCCCTGCTTCCCCAGGCCTGGTGGCCTCTAGTGACTTCTTGTGAGTCTGAGTTGGGTGAAGATGAGGGAAAGGAAAAGGTGAATAGTAATTCAGCAGTGTCTGGCCAGAGCTATTGTGGTTCTGCCCCTTCACTGTGCCCCCCCCCCCCCTTTTTTTTTTTGCAAGTGTGTTTGCAATCAAGTTACTCTTTAAGCTTTAGCTGTGTGGACTTTTGTGGTGCCTTTATGAACAGGGTGTTGCAGGAACAGAGGCAAACACCTGAAAAAGGCTGTGGCTTCGCGGCACTCCCCCGCACCCCCCAGAAGCACTGCTAATGTATTGTTGACAGTAGTTGAACAAGTTTTGTGTGAACCTCCAGATCTGCTAGTTATTTGCTACTGCTGTTTTTATTTTTTTTCCTTGTTCATGCGATGCTTTTCTGTGGCTCTTATTGAACCTCCCACAAAGTTTTGACTAAACTTATCAGATTGGATGGTTTTAATCAAATTTTGCCAATCTGCCATGAGCACACCCTCTTGTCTTTTGCAATTACATAGAGAGTATGCTTAACTTTTGTTTTGTTTTGTTTTTCCCTTCCCATTTTAAACAAGCACAACCATGAATGAACGCTTGGGGAATTATTTATGTAAGTAGAGAGGATTT